GGAGTGCGCACACTGTTGAAGCCGTTCTCAGCCTTTTTGTTGCAACGCGTATGCGACAAAAAGTGGTAGAAAACGAGTAATACGAAGGATATAATACAGTAATGCACTTGTTCGCTTCAAAAACTGGTGCAGAACGACTTTGCCAAACCGCACCAAATGCAGCCGCACTGCCACGCCCCACCGGTCCGCAATGATGAGGACTGTATCTATGCAAAATTGCCGGATCAAGAGAAGGGCGCTGACATTTTCTTGTGCCGTCTGCGTTCTCTTAGGCAGCGTTCGGACTTCGCGACAGCAGCGCGTCGGTCGCCCATCGATGCGCATGCTTTCAACTGCATCGATCGCGTCGAACGCGCGACTGAAGCGCTGCCATCGCGAAGTCTGAACGCTGCCTTATCCACCCGCTGTTTGCGCCTTTGTCTGGATTGGCAACTGACTGTCGCACCGCGCTCATAACTGGGCCCGTGGGTGTCCCTCACAAGGTACACAAGGTGAAATGGCGAACTATGAAATGTAAGTTGAGCACTAGAGCACGCACCACAGACCACCGATAGAGAAATAGTTGACCCACCTGGAAGGTTTGTTTGAGCTTGGTCGCGTCGATACTCTCGATTCGCTCCTCGAGAAGCCGTTCTTGATTTTCCCGTTTCTTATCCTTATAGTCTTCATAACAACAATCGCTTATCAAATCTGGCATGATGCCAAAAAATGACAACTCCTCATCGTACGCGACAAGGCATTCGTGTCGGGGATACTGAAAATGGCATTCGTAACTAAAGTCCATTACCGACAAGTAGCACACGAGTATGGTCGCTCAAAACTTTGTTCAGCGAACAGATGTGTAATTATGCGACGAGAACTGATCGGTCATTTGCGTCTCCGACACGCGTTTCGCTCGAGAGACCGCTTGCGTTTTTCGCTTCGTTTTCTTTCTCGTTTCAGCTCAGTTGCAAGTTAGGGGTCTGACTCCCAGGGACCTCTCTACATTCGAACAAACAGGTAGAATATCCGCTAAATAAAGCCTTCCTCCGAACTTTTTTCCCGTATGACCTACCTCCCACGATCGACCAATCACCCCATCGAACATTTCCAAGGAGTTGTCCTGGGGATGGGAGTATACAGGGGGAAGGAAAAATGGCACTTTGGCCTAATCACATATCAGCAAAGTTCAAAGCCCAGACAGAAGGTGGATACGAGTACCAGGGCGGAAGATACCCAAGATGTTCCTCGATAAGCAGGAGCTGGCTCTCGCCCATCACCTTCATGTACACCAAAATATGAAGTCATCTCCAGTCGCAGCCTGACTGGAGAAGACCTTTGGAATTCATGTCACCTCCAAACAGCTGCGAAACTTCTAGTGTGGAGTCATGTGGACCGGAAGTTACCTAGAATGAGAAGACCGATATTCTCTTCGTGGACCCCGGACTGAATGCGAATGTTGGCGGTTACATCGGACAGCTTGGAATAATTCGTACTACTACAGGGATGGGTGCCAGCACATGGAATCGAAAGGCGTTGGAAAAACTCACGCCGTCCTCGGACATCAAAGCGGCTTGAAAAGCTGAAAAAGACGGGCATATCCACGTTGTGTCACCTCACAACCTCGTAACGCTTCTGCGAGTTCATTGTGGGGTAATCTACAGTGGGAGCAAATCAACGACCTCACTTCAACTCAGCATCCTGATCACTAAGTCCCGTTAAGAACCTCTCGATGGTATCATCCATTGATGTGGTGGAAGTATCGTGACTAGGCGCACAATTCCTATTGAATTTCGATTTAAATTATCCCATCAGAATTGATAATAGTTTACGTTTAATATCACTTGAAAGTCGAGGTGTAGAAGTGTCTTTTTCTGTTCCCCCCTATACATCGCCGATCAAGTATCAGAAACAATTTCTTGCTAGATTGGTAGATATTACGCCTGAACCGGGGAAATGACAATCGAAGGAACCTTCAACAGGCCTGATATGACCCCCAACCCTCCCCTCCTTCAGGAATTTCAACGTGCTCTGGTTATTTCAGAAGATTCTAATTAAACATGGACTCACATGCAGCTTTCCAGTGCGATAGAAGGTGAGAATATGTCGGAAAATATCCGGGTCACGATCGAAGAAATATTCTCCGGTGTCCTCATCATAGAAAAATTCCTGAAATGGGGAAAAAACAGCCATGAATACACGTAGGAATCAATGGATACATTAGCGCATCAGTACAAAGTATACGAATTGATAGATGTTACAATTTGATCACCATAAAAATTAGGTTTGGTCGAAATATAACAGGAATCATGCGAATTGAAAAAAACAAACAAATCACATCTCTGTAAATAAATAAAGAATCAAATAAATGAATAATGGCCAGTTAACGACTAATAAGTAAGCAAATAAGCGATAGGAATGATACCTTTTCATTGGATCCCAGGAGCGTCTCCGGGAATTTTTCCAACGTATTTTTCCATGTTTCGAATTTCCTTCCTGAGATATTGATCGATAATTTCTCATCGGATACGTGGTCAACAGCAAGATCCTTTGCCTGAAATTTAGTGACTTGATATCAAACCATAGAAAGGAACCCTTCTCGGCAAGTAGGGCACGTCGTAATTTGGGCGTCAGAGAGGGATGGGGTGGGGGTCGTTTCTGGTTGCTGGAGGGAGATCGTACCAAAGGAGTACTTTTTTCCACAGAACGTACTCCGCTTGCAAGGCATAGAGACGCGCGACAACGCACGCGGTAGGTTGCTAGACGGAGTACCCGGTGCGCCCTATCCGGGGGTACGTCTTATACACAGAAAATAGGGCAATCTGCTATCGGACTTTCTTTGCGAAAGAAACATCAAGAACGTTGTGATCCTTTAATGAAACAATGGCATAGAAACTACACAGCTCAGAAAAAATAAGTAAAAAAATAAAGAAAATGAAAAAATGCAAGGAAATACAGTCATGATCCCTGCAAGCGATAGGGCATGTGACGCGGCGCGTACTGAACGCAGCCAGAGCGCTCTTTTTCCACCAATCACGCCATCCTGAACCCGCCACAACTGGTGGGAAATCTGATCTCTCTACGCTCCAAGCCATGCCCCGCCAGACGCACTATCGCTTGCAGAAATCACGACTTTACCTTGTGACGGACAATTTGGAAACTATCGTAGCGACTAATTACTTATAGAATTAGCTTGCAATAGACGTGATCTTCGCCAAGGGAATATAGATCACCCACTATATATAATTCGCTTCGTCTGTCTGTTTGTTTCTTTGTTTGTCCGGAAATTCGGTTCGACCGTGAGAACCGAAGACGGCTGATAGAGGTAGCGGTTCAAGGGGTGGGGCGAAGTAGCCTGGGACAAAGAAGTAGGAGCAACACTTGACCTATGCGAAAGCGCCCACCCACGTGGCGTGAAATGAACGCCGAATTATTGGCGGTACCAAGCAGACAAGTATTTATATTCGCTTCCCGCAACAGCCCCACAGATGGGAAAAAGTGTACTAATGTTAGAAGGGGTTGCCAGACTAACTGGGAGAGACACACAGGAAATGGGCGGGACCACTTGCGATGGGCGGTGCCTTGCCACAAAATACATTAACTCGGTTCGCGAGTGCGTTCAGAAATCGTAACTAACTCGATGCAGGAGGGCAATATCTGGCGAGTGTTGGACACGCCTGAAGTGTGTTAGGACCGCCCACAGTGGACGGAGCTAGGCTTCAACCGCAGGATGCTCATTCCAAAGGCTTTCCAGAACGCTCAGGGCAGTTTCAGAAAACGAGATTAGGTCAGCGAGGGCCTGCCGCCTCAATTGAAAAGTATGGCAGCACACATGTTGTTGGCGGCGCCTGCTCCGATGTGTGGCCAGGAAAGCAGAACAAAAATCGTCGTAAAACGACCAGAGCACTCCAGACACCGTCAACAAGTGAAAGCGAGATAGTTGCCTCAACTGTGAGAATGAATAGGCGACGCCCATTGCGGGCGGAGCACTGTATGAAGCTGAGAGGAGTCAAGAACTCAACGCTTCGGGTGGAAGCAGCTCTAGGCACACAGAGGACAAAGAGACTAGAGGTATAGAAATATGTGAAAGAAGGCGACAGCGCGCAAGCTGGCGAGCTGACTGTCCTATTCACAGAAGGAGGGCGCCGGCGTCAGCCGGCGCGAGCAAATGGTAAAACTGCTAAAGGCGTGGGTGTAAATTCCCATTCAATTATATCTTCATTTAAGTCTCTATAAGAGCCTCAAAGGCAGTTTGGCACTAGAGAATTTTTGGTGATAGGGCCTAACGATAAGAGGGTGCTGCCGTAGTGAGAAAATGGGCGAAAGAACGAAGTGAACGGTCAAAATACTATGCGAAAAAAAGCTTCGGTTTATATTGACACAATAGCAGTTGGACGAGTTGTCCGTAGGCATCTTGCCCAATAACGTTACGTAATACGCTGGACGTAGCTACCCGAGGGGACGCTTATGTCCAACCCTTCGCTACAGCATGTACGGTCATCCATTTGTGGGCGGGCGGGCGCGGGGGCGTTCGGGTCGGTATGTTGTAGCTTGACAGAGCCCCGGGTACCTTCCTTGAAGGCGCTACGCACCTGCTCAGGGTCGCGGAATTCCGTCCTGCCAGGCGTACTAATCCTACTCGCCCTACTTGTTGGAGGTTTATGCTGCCAACTGCCTTCAAGGCGCTGACCGTGCTTGTCATGAGGGCTGTCTCAGACCTACCATTTTCTCTTCCTCGATGGGGCGCTCCTGCAAGGAACGAGCATCTTATTCAAGAGAAAGCTGCAGAAGTCTTACAGACTTGATCCCGCCGACGAGGCTAGCGTGGATTGTGCCCACATGCGACTGCGGGTAGATTGAACACACAATTTGTCCACATAAAACGTACTATTTTCAAGTATTAAGGTTTGAGAAGAGAATACTATCCTGGAATGTTGGAAGACTTCGAATGGCATGTATAGCCCAGTGAACAACCACTATTACGAATAGATCAGATCAGTGAGGTTTTTTCCAAACTATCCTAATTGCAATGAGTCCCCGTCTAATTAGTAGACTAGCTCGCTTTGTCGCTGCGTTTCTTTCAGATTTCCTTTCCTGCCATTTAACTCTCTGGAATTTCCGAACTCAACATTTGATAAACCTTCTTGAATCAAATGACGCGCATAGGCAACTGTAATGTCTTCAATGAGGCGCAAATGGCGCTGACGTCGAGCGTTATACACGACATTGAAGAGGTCAAAAGATACGTGAGGTAGCCCCAATTACTTCATTCTTTACGGGTACCATTTCAGGCCTACGTTTCATTTTCAGAGGCCCTGTGCACTGGGCAGCTTATACGGTGAAGAGATGTGGGCGCTGTTGGGCTTAGGAGAAGTGGGAAGGGTGGACATTTGACACGTTACTACTTTCTTTTGCGACTTGTACATACTTCTCGACTGTAAACGACGCTCGTGCTATCGCTCAGCTTACAGCAGTTTACGGGCTCCACAGGAGCCTTTGGTAGTCATCGATGGGAAACAGCAAAGTTCCCCCACCAATCCGATCAGCGCCGAATGGCATAGTGATCCTTTATATGTATTAGGTTGTCCGGAAAGTTCTCAGCGTTTTGGGTGTTTCACT